AACATGCTATATATTAGAAAACAGCTTTTTCCTAATTTACAATCTAATTTTTGATTACTGGAGGGCATATACATTCCAAAAAGTCTCTATGTCTGAACAGAAAAAAAATCAAAAAGGTCCTGGGCTGTCATAAATAAATCCAACCTTTATCAAGTGGAGTTTTATGGGGCTTAGGTTGGAGTATTGAACAGACAAACCAAAAACTATAAAGTATCTGATGAGTTAGGGGACCCATGACATGTTTTCACTCCTGCTCTTAGGTTAGAAACATAGAATCATAAGTTGGAAGGGACCTCAGGAGGTCATCTAGTTCAACCCCCTGCTCAAAGCAGGACCAATTCCCAACTAAATCATCTCAGCCAGGGCTTTGTCAAGCCGGGCCTTAAAAACCTCCAAGGAAGGAGATTCCATCACCTCCCTAGGTATAGAATCATAGAATAAATAGGTTCTTATGAACTTAAGAAAAGCAGCTGACATTTTGCTCAGTGTGGCATTCTGGATCCTGATTATCAGGTCTTCTGCACAGAGATATTTCTTACTGAAGTCAGTGTAAGTTGCATACGCAAGTGATGGGATAATGAGACCTCTAAATGCTTACTTCATGGGCTGAAATATTTCTCACTACATAAAAAACTGACATGAAATACCAAGTTGTTTTTTAATTAAAATTGCTATTTATGAGAAGTGTCTTGTGTAACAGGGAGCATTGGAGACTAAAGTAGGAGTGTAAAAATAAATAAATACAAAGTTTCTACTCTTCTTAATATTTAGATCTAATGTTTAATTATTTTTGTTTAATCAATATTTAAAAGTTATCATACCTGAACAGCTTTGCTTTCCCAGTGTTTACTTTGCTACAATGTTCCTGATGTTATATTAAAGTCATGCCAACTACTTTCATGTTACCAATACAGAGACTGTAGAAATGTAATAAAAAAGAAACTTAATTAAAATAATATCAGGTATATCAAGGGTGTGCCTTAATTTACCAAATCAACACAAAAAGCTCCCTCTTTTGTGGTGCAGGAGGGAGATAGTTAAAGACAGAGTAACAGCTTTGCCTCTGAATTTCCTTTTTCTGAATGTTTAAAGAATTGCTGTAGTGAATTTTGCAACGGTAGTGGAAGTATATAAGTGTGCAATGTCCGTGCTATGTATGGCAATCAACAACTTTATGTTGCCCATTATAAACAGTATAAATTTGTCATCCTCTGATCCATAATAATCCTTAGACCTTATAGAGCACTTTTCATCTGTAGTTCTCAAAGAACTTTACAAAGATGGATAAATGTAATTGTCACAGTTCCCGGGCTAACTGCATCTCTCTCCTCTCCCCGGTCTGACTCAGTGGTGGGCAACCTGCGGCCCACGGGCTGCATGTGACCTATCAGGGTAATCCTCTGGCAGGCCGCGAGACAGTTTGTTTACAGTGACCGTCCGCAGGCACGGCCGCCCGCAGTTCCCAGTGGCCACGGTTCACCGTTCCCGGCCAATGGGAGTTGTGGGAAGTGGTGCGTGCCTATGGCCGGTCAGTGTAAACAAACTATCTCGCAGCCAGCCAGCGGATTACCCTGATAGGCCACGTGCAGCCCGCAAGCTGCCCACCACTGCTCTGACTTCACCTCCCCTCACCTCATGGATCCTCTAACCATCACCTTTCTCAGAGTGGAAGCATGCAACTAAATATTTTAGAACTAAAATGTTTCACAGAAAAATAGATGTTAAAACAATAAACAGTCCACATGCTTGCCTGTCTTTTCCTAAGGCTTACCAATCCCTGGATCTGGGGGAAGGCCCACTTCTTTAGACCCCTTCCACGGTATCTCTTTGTGTTAACCTGTCTCCCTGAACTGCTGATGATAAATGACCCTCCTCCCTCCCCGAGAAGGGCTTTTTAACTATTTTGAGTTCTCTTGATCTCTTCCTCTCCAGCACTGGCAGAAAAGCTATGTCACTTTGCTTTGGAGCCTAGAAGTAAGCCATCATTTTGGAATTGCCTCCCCAGTGTTTGTTCAGAGGTTGCTTATCTATAGTTATTGTGTTGCTTCCTTGCTTGTTTTTCCCATACTGTCTATTAAGCTAGAACAATACATACATACAGGAGAGTCTTATAACCTAGTATACATTATGGGACCTAGTCACTGAGGTGAAGGTAAAGTTGTTCATAAAATTATTATAGCTCAATATTGTTAGATTATTACATAGTAATTCCATGTCCATCATGGTAATTATTCTTATTTTATAGTTAGGAAATTGAGCTATTAAGTAGGGCTGTCAAGCGATTAAAAAAATTAATCGTGAGATTTAAAAAATTAATCACGATTAATCACACTGTTAAACAATAATAGAATACCATTTATTTAAATATTTTTGAATGTTTTCTACAATTTCAAATATGTTGATTTAAATTACAACACAGAATACAAAGTGTACGGTGCTCACTTTATATTGATTTTTCATTACAAGTGTTTGCACTGTAAAAAGACAAAAGAAATGTATTTTTCAAGTCACATAATACAAGTACTGTAATGCAATCTCTTTATCATGGAAGTTGATATGTAGAATTATGTACAAAAATACCGCATTCAAAAATAAAACAATGTAAAACTTTAGAGCTTGCAAGTCCATGCAGTCCTACTTCTTGTTCAGCCAATCGCTCAGACAAACTAGTTTGTTTACATTTGCAAGAGATAATGCTGCCTGCTTCTTGTTTACAATGTCACCTGAAAGTGAGAACAAGTGTTCTCATGGCACTATTGTAGCCGGTGTCGCAAGATATTTACGTGCTAGATGCTCATGCTTCAACCACCATTCCAGGAGACATACATCCATGTTGATGATGGTTTCTGCCCAAAAACCATCCAAAGCAGTGTGGACCGACACATGTTCATTTTCGTTATCTGAGTAATATGTCACCAGCAGAAGGCTGATTTTCTTTTTTGGTGGTTCGGGTTCTGTAGTTTCAGCATCGGAGTGTTGCTCTTTTAAGACTTATGAAAGCATGCGCTCTACCTCATCCCTCTCAGGTTTTGGAAGGCACTTCAGATTCTTAAACCTTGGGTCGACTTCTGTAGCTATCTTTACAAATCTCACATTGGTACATTCTTTGCGTTTTGTCAAATCTGCAGTGAAAGTGTTCTTAAAATGAACGACATGTGCTGGGTCATCATCCGAGACTGCCGTAACATGAAATATATGGCAGAATGTGGGTAAAACAGAGCAGGGGACGTACAATTCTCCCCCAAGGAGTTCAGTCACAAATTTAATTAACGCATTATTTTTTTAATGAGTGTCATCAGCATGGAAGCATGTCCTCTGTAATGGTGGCCAAAGCATGAAGGGGCATACGAATGGTTAGCATATCTGGCACTTAAATACATTGCAATGCTGGCTACAAAAGTGCTATGCAAATGCCTGTTCTCACTTTCTGATGACATTGTAAATAAGAAGAGGGCATTATCTCCTGTAAATGTAAACAAACTTGTTTGTCTTAGCCATTGGCTGAACAAGAAGTAGGACTGAGTGGACTTGTAGCCTCTGAAGTTTACATTGTTTTGTTTTTGAGTGCAGTTATGTAACAAAAAAAAATCTACATTTGTAAGTTGCACTTTCAGGACAAAGAGATTGCACTACAGTGCTTGTATGAGGTGAATTGAACTATACTCTTTCTTCTGTTTATCATTTTTACAGTGTACATATTTGTAATCAAAATATACATTTTGATTTCAATTACAACACAGAATACAAGATATATATGAAAATTATTAAAAATACAAAATATTTAATAAATTTCAATTGATATTCTCTTAACAGTGTGATTAAAACTGCAATTAATTTCAATTAATTTTTTAAATCACAAATAATTTTTTTGAGTTAATCGCATGAGTTAACTGCTATTAATCGACAACCCTACTATTAAGTGATTAGCCCAAGGTCATATAGTGAGTCAGTCTCAGAGACATGATTAAAACCAGGGTTCCTGATCTTAGTTCCAACTTTATCCCCTGGGCCACACTGCCTCCAGCATGAACATTCCAAATCTAGTAACACCAGAAACAGATGAAAAGTTTGATTTTTGTCTTTTTAGGGTTATTTATCAAAACAGCAACTAACAGAATTGTTTTGCTTCTGGAGCTGCTAAAATTGTGTCTGCGTCTCTACCTCTACCCTTCCTGCACCCCAAGACCCTCATCCCCAGCCCCACCCCAGAGCCCACACCCCCAGCTGGAGCCCTCACCCCCTCCTGCACCCAAACTCCCTGCTCCAGCCCCCTCCGGTACCCTGAACCCCTCATTTCTGGCCCCACCCCAGAGCTTGCACCCCCAGTTAGAGTCCTCACCTACTCCCACCCCACCCCCAGCCTGGAGCCCCCTCCTGCACTCTGAACCCCTCATCCCCAGACCCACCCCAGCGAAAGTGAGTGAGGGTGGGGGAGAGCGAGCCATGGAGGGAGGGGGAACATAGTGAGCATGGGCGGGGCCTCGGGGAATGGGCGGGGCCAGGGTATTCGGTTTTGTGGGGTTACAAAGTTGGCACCTAGCCCTGCCGCCCCCCTGTGGGACCCGCTGCCCTGAGGGAGCAGAAGCCAGCGGGCGAACACAAGGAGTCCCGAACGTGTGTGACATGGCTCGTGGGGTCCGGGCCTGCCCCCATCGCTTGTTAGTGCCTGGGGCTGGTCGTGCTGGGAAATGGCGGCTGGTACCCCCCAGCTGTTGGCTGTTGCTGGAGGAGTTGAGCGAGAGGGCTTGTAACTGGGCCCAGCACTGCGGGCCGCGCACAGGGTGAGGCTCGCAAGGCGCCCACTGCCAGGAACTCCGCGCGCCACACCAGCCAGCAGAACTACAATCCCCACAACCCCCCGGGGCAGAGGTGGCGGTGACGTCATCCCTGCACCCTGGCGGCCAGCGGCGAGGCCCGGCGCCGCTATTCGCGGAGCGTTCTGCGCCTGCCTCCGGCTCGGCCGAGCGGAGCGGCGGGAGCATAGAGCGCGGCGGTGCAGAGCGGCCGGTGGGCGGAGCTGCTTCGCTCCAGCCCCCCCAAGTAAACAGTCGCTAACATGGCGGCTCGGAGGCCTCGCTCCGCCTCGGGTGAGTGAGTCGCCCGTGGGCGCGGCCGCCGCTGTCGGGCCCGCGTGGGGGCGGCTCTGGCCTGGTCCCCTCGCGGGGAGACTCGTTCCCGCCTCAGTCGGGCCCCCTAGTGGGAGCTTCGCTGCCCCGAGCGCCTCCGTGCCGAGGCCGGGGGAGGGGCCTGGCGGGGGCGGCCCCTGGTAGCTGCAGGGCGGAGGGGGCTTGGGAGGAAGCGCCCGGCTCCGGGGATGCGCAGTCGCGTCCTGCCGGGAAGCGGCTGCCCCCGGGGTGGAAGCTGCCGGGCGGGGCTCGGGGCCAGGACTCCTGGGTTCCGTCCTTGCTGCCGCGGCGGAGTCCCTGGGGCTCTGTGCGCGGCCCCCGTCGCTTCCTCGCTTGTGGGATGGGGACAGCCCTTAGGTCACCTGCAGCCGGGCTGCTTGGGAGGGTCAAGGCTACAGGGCATAACTGTGTTTAATGCAAGGTCAGATCTTCAGATAAAATGTGCCATCGAAATGTCAAGTATTCAACAAATGCCCCCAGAAATCCTAGCACAGTCAAGAAAGGAGAGGAATGAATAGACGTTGCCATTTAGGACCTTATTCAAAGCCAAGAGATTAAATTTACAAGGTACTTTGCAGAGTTGGGGTGAGGATGAAGAAATTGCCATAGCTTTCTTCCCGTTGAGGCTTGTCTAAATACAAAAGTTGAACCACCATTAGCTGGTATAGTTCTCTCTAGCGTGGACACAGTTATACCCATGTAAAGGTGCTTTATATTGGTATACGTGTCCCTGGTCAAGAAGGGAAGTAAACTATACAAAAGTAATACACCTTTATACTGGTACAGCGGCATCCACAGTAGGGGGTGTAAAACTGACTGTTTGGGTTAAAAATAATCACACCCTTAACCATCATAATACTAGTACAAAAACTGTGTATAGACCAGGCCTAATACAAATAATCCTTATTTGATGTTTCTATCCCCTGTGTATTAAAGTGAACAGTTTGTAGTTGCAGCTACTTACCATTGGTTACCTGGTAACAGGAAAGTTCAGTGCCAACTTGTTGAGGCTGCTGTTTCTGTTATTTGAGTCACTTGCCCTCCATTTTAAGGAGTCAAGACCATTAAGTATTGATTGCAACTGATAGTAATGTGATACACACATAAAACTATGGTATTATCTTCTTAATTTACTAGCTTGATGACCTATATTTACCTCAAAATTTAAAAAAGGCTGAGACTTTTGTATTGAACTACTTACAGTGGTTTTATTAATCATTTTAGTTCTCGTAAAGCATAAATTTACTACACAATTGAGAAGTTCAGAACTAATTCTTTTATAATTTGCTTTGAACACTCACTAAAAGGAGAATCACCTATGGTAATTTTTATTTTAATTTTTTTAAAGAGCCCGACTGTGATGATGATTCTTATGAAGTATTGGATTTAACAGAATATGCAAGGCGTCACCATTGGTGGAATCGTGTGTTTGGCCGAAATTCTGGACCAATTGTAGAAAAGTATTCTGTAGCCACTCAGATTGTAATGGGCGGAGTGACTGGCTGGTGAGAGAGGATCACTTTTGATTATTGTGCCATGCATCTGACTGTTCTTAAATTCTTGACTGTTCTGTATCATTCAAAGTGATAAACTGTTTGAGCTTGCATGGTTTCCTAATTAATAACTCTAAATTCAAGAGATAAGGGAAGAACTGGCACTAGATCAAACTTCAAAAGCACTGCCTCGTGTCAGTCAGTAAAACATGCCTATTATAAAAGAGAGCCCTTGCCAATTATTGCAAAAGAGCTTTGAAGAAGTGACAGAACTCTTAAGATCATTTCTTTAACAAACAAATGGAAAATTACTGTATATAATGCTAATGAGTAGCATATTTTATTAGTTATAAGACAGACATGAGGGCCTATTTGTTTTGTTACTGTGAATAAGACTTGCATGTAAAACAGATCAGAAGAAATGTGGGGCAGACTTTGTCAAGGGCCCCAAATACATTTTTTTAGGTGAAGGTGCTTTTTTGTTTAACAGCAAAAGCCACTTGAAATTGAACAACTTCTATACAGTTTTTCTTACAGATAGTGAAATGTGAAGTTGTGTTATATCACTTTAGCTAAAAAAGATATTTCATCTGAGTGTTCTGTTTTAAAAAAAAGTTTACAATCATAAGTACAAAGTATTAACTTAAGTTCTAATATTAAAACATTAATATTATATTACAACACTTTTTAAGTTAATGAAAACAGATATTTTTGGATTTAAACAATGCTATTATGTTTAAAATGCAAACACATGAGAACCTGAAAGTAGAACGGGCTAAATGAAAGTGGAATTAATCTCTATTGTACAAGCTGAGTGAAGTGTAAAAACAAACAAAAAAGCATAAATGGTGAAAAGACCATTATTATTTTAAAATTGTTTAAATAATATGAGGTGTTTAATAATAGAGTTGGGGAATTAGTAGTTTCAATATGATTTTTAACCTGTTTGTGTCTCCCTACAGTTTTTATAAATAATAGATAAATGTACAAAAGCCTTTGGAGTTTTTAGAACAAAGTGTAATGGGAGTTTAGTGCCAAAATCATGAAAAGTGCCAAATCGAGGAGTCTAGAAATTGAAGTACTTTTTCTACAAAACAGGTGCAGTTTGTGGAGTGGTAGTGAAACCTGTTTCTAACAGCCCTAGAAAAATACCTCAGTCCTGGCATGCACAGGCCTGTGCTAGAACTGACAAGGCGGTGGACTCATCTCAGAGTCTGCCAACAAGAATGTTAAATAGAATGGAAGCTTTTCTCCACTCGAAAATAGACTAAGACCTTGTCTACATGCAATTTTTTGTGCTGGCTTAACTATTTTGTTGGGGGGGGTGTTTATTTTTTTACTGAAATAGTTAAATCGGTATAGCCCCTACTGTGGATGCAGTTATATTGGTACAAAAGTCTCTTTAACCAGTATAGCTTATTTCTCCTTCCCTACCAGAATAGATATACCTATACAGGCCCCTTTATACTGATATAACTGTTTGCACTAAGAGGGTTGTAATGCTTTAACTGATTGTACCAGTTAAAGTGGTGCAATTTAATTAAATTATTTTGTGTAGACAAGGCCTGAAGCCACCAACTCACTTCCCAGAGGACATCAAATAACCATTAGTTGATAACTGATCTAGACTTGTGCTTGATATACATCACCAAAAAGTGTTTGTATTACATAAATCTATAATTTCTCATAACTTGCAGGTTGCAGAGTAAGAAATAGGAAAGTGAAACTGTCATTTTAGGAATCCAAAATTTTAGTAGGGTTTAATGTGAAAATTCTGAAAAATGGCATTGTGGGCCAGACAATCTTAACTTTATTGGAATGTTGTTTTTTTGGGTCTTCTAAGGTGTGCAGGATTTTTGTTCCAGAAAGTTGGAAAACTTGCAGCAACTGCAGTAGGTGGTGGATTTCTTCTACTTCAGGTATATAGAATTTCATATTTTAATATTTAGGGAATGTGTTATAATTGAATTATATGGACAAAACTCAGCTACTGGCTTATACTTGGGTTGGGAAGGGGAAGGTGGGTTCCATATCTATTTCTTATATTACCCTTGCCAATTAATAGAAAAATACTGCTGCTGTGCTGGTATATTTTTACTTAGTTTTACGTACAGTTTCTTAAAGCTATTGATCAGAAATATAACAGACAGGAATAATCAAATGTTTTTAAATAAAAGTAGTTTCAAGTGAGCTGAAAGAATGAAAACATAATGCAGAAATTGAAATACTATTTTTGACTTGATATTGCCAGACTTAGCAAATTGATTATAAAATTGTGGTTGCAGAGATCAAGGAATGTAAGCAGTCTTTATTTTTTGTTAACAGGGGGATGGAATCTCAAAGGTACCTAAGTGTCAAAGGAGTCTAATTCAGTCATAGTCTAGGTGTCTAGTTTCTTGTTAGGAGTACTTGTGGCACCTTAGAGACTAACAAATTTATTTGAGCATAAGCTTTCGTGGGCTATAGCCCACTTCATCAGATGCATAGAATGGAACATATAGTAAGAAGATATATATACATACAGAGAACATGAAAAGGTGGAAGTTGCCCTACCAACTTTAAGAGGCTAATTGATTAAGGTGAGCTATTATCAGCAGGAGAAAAAAACTTCTGTAGTGATAATCAAGATGGCCCATTTCAGACAATTGACTGAAGTGATTTAGAATAACCCGCATATGGAGATGGTGCACAAATCAATTTGACTAGCATGGATACACTGAATTGTTTGCCTTAAACCAGTGCATTACACCTCTGGATCAGTTGGGAATGATTCAATTCTTCGTGTAGGCACAACCTGGGGGTTTAGGAGTGCTCATTGCACTTCAATATTTAAATTCCATTTGTCCAGAAGAGCATGGGTTTGTGTTTCAGAACTGACTTTCCTGCTTAGCAGTACAACATTCTGCCACTTGGCTAGCCTTATCAATTTGTGTCACACAAATTTTGAATTAAAAAAAGAAACAAAAAGCTTGTAAATCACTAATGAGCCTATATACAAATGGGGAAAACAGGTTTGCTGTATCTGTTTATGTACATTTTGATTTTTTGTGTGTGTGTTGGCCTTTTCTGTGGAAAATATTTGATAAAGAAACTTATGGGGGGAGGGTTGGACAGGGTTGAACTGTTATACCTCAGTTGTACATTTAGGTTCAGTTGTCGCCATCTTTGATTGATTCAGATCATATTCTGATAGAAGTAAATGTCTTAGTCATTTAATTCTAGGTACTTTGCATAGTAAAGATTAGTCAAATTGTATGGTAGTCTAATTACATTTCTATAGTCTTTAAAGTTTTTTCTTTTAAAAATCATCTGTAAATACACAGTGTAAATTCACTTTAATTCAAGAATATATGCTGAATGCATTCATTGAACAGGTAGAAGGGTTTTCAGCAGGTGACTAGAAATTAACTTTTTTTTTTTTTTTTAAGTTTCGTTGAAGTTGCAAGTTTCGTTAATGCAAAATGTTGAGAAGTTACAGATACCAGAGGAATCCACTGGAACAAGAAGGGGGCCCATTTGTTGGGAAGTGTACTCAAGTAGAGTCCTATTTGTGTAGTTTTTGAAATTCAAGAAAAACCTTCTAACTTCTTTTTAGTGTATATTAAATTGATTTCAAGGGATCTAGTTGGAAACTAAAAACAAAATATAATATGTGGTTAGTTTCTCACGGGTAGCAGATAAATCAAATTCTGAAAACAGGCTAGTTCAATTAGCAATGTTACAACCAATCCTATTAAAAAGTAGTCTTGTAGGGGTGAGGAGAGAGAAGGAAAATAATCCGTTAACATGGCTTTTATAAGTCAAGACCTTATTATCCTCATCAAATCACATGGAAGTTTGATATTTTGAACAATTTAATTTGATTAATTGTGTATCATTTTTTAAACAAGGATTAAATTCTCCTAATGTGCCTGATACAAGGCCAGTTCAAGTCCGCTATAATAGATAGGCACTGGAAAAATAAAAATAACTAATAAAAATAATTCATTTCTCATAACAAACGTAACATCTTTCCTTTTATAGCCTTTAGATTAACTGGTTCCTTATAGTAGGGAGAACTATGGAGAAACATGCCAAATCCTTAAAATGTGGTTCCCCTCTGAAAAGCAACTTTGGTGGTTTTGTTTTTTTAAAAGCACCTTGTCACTTGAGAGATCTGTTTCTTGTGGCAGAGTGCTGGGAGCTAGTAAGTGAGCCAACACTCTGATCACTTCAGGCATCAATCAGCTAATTGGCTGATCAGGCTGGGTGAGCCAATTTGTCCACTAGTAGGAGGGGGGCATAGGAAGGAACTATAGAGAGGGAGTAACCAGGGTTAGCTAAGCCCAATGTGTGCAAAGATCTCAAGGAAGGGAGACCTTTGTTCCTTTCTGGCCCTGCAGGAAAGGACTAAAGGTAGAGAATCACTGTATCTAATATTGCTACATGGGACTGTATTGGTGAAGGAAGTGTAAATAAATCATGCAAAGTTGCCACTCAGCAGTGAGAGTCTGAGAGGTTCCTGGGGCATCTGAGGATGTTGACGGCGCATGCCCCTTTACTTGTGTATATAAGTCATATATGTTCAGTTTAGTGGCAAAATGTTTTTACTGCTTTTTGCTCCTGTTAGACTAAGGTCTGTGTTTGAGTCAATCTTCTGTTAGCCATTATTTAATCATAAAAAGCTTTATTTATAGTAAGTCATTTATTCTTTCTCTTCCATATTTGGACTCATTCAATTTAGAACACCATTGATGGATTCAAGTCTTCACTTAAATAATTCTGTAACAAATGGAACATTTGAAAACCATACAAGGTGCAAAAATAACACTAGGATTTACCTGGCCTATTCTGGTCTGGCTACATACTCTACTGGTGTTCTGTGATAGCTATGATATTGTGGCAGGATGCATGCCGGGACATCTCAATGAAGTTGGGAGAGGGCAACATGCTACGGGGGTGGGAGAGGATAAAAAGGTGAGAGTTCCTCAAATTCTTGTGTTGAATATCCGACTTGACAGTTTTGTGCCCCATTTGAGAGGGGCATTCAACAGAACTGCCAAAGCAAATAGAATTTTTATATTGGAAATTTGTCTTTAAGCAAATGCATTAGGTCTGACAAGTTTTAGTAGAAATATTTTTGGCCAGATCCTTAGCGTGTGTAAACTAGAGTAGTTCCATTGAGAGATCTCTCTCTCTCTCTCTCTCAATGGAACTACTCTAGTTTACACACGCTAAGGATCTGGCCAAAAATATTTCTACTAAAACTTGTCAGACCTAATGAAGAGTTTGAAGAGTTAAACTCCAGGGATTAGATCCTCAGCTAGTGTCAACTGACAGTGCTATTAAAAAAAATATTCTCTCTCTCTCTCTCTCTCTCTCTCTCTCTCTCTCTAAAAAATATTTTTTTTAATGGCACTGTGTCAGTTGACACTAGCTGAGGATCTAATCCCTGGAGTTTAACTCTTCAAAAGGAAGATTTACTTCTCTGTTTCTTTTAGTTCATTTGTTAACTCCTGTATGATAAAGTTAGTGTCTTTAAACACCTTGTTAAAGTGTACACGTGTGTGATGGGTAATGCTGCCCATTTAAGTATCAGATTTATAAATCTGGAACAGGGTAAACTTTTAAGCATTGTCTGTTGTAAAACTAACTGAATGTTATCTAACGGTAACAAGCCCTTCTTCAGGTTGGTTGGTCTAATATGGGTGAAACTTGCTGTTGGAGAAGTTGGTTCTTTAGTGTACTCTTCCTATTCGATCTACTTCTGCATTCTCTTTATTGTGTTCCATAACAAAGGTTTGCACAGCCCATGTGAGTAACTGCAGCGAGGTAATCTAGCTAAGCAGATTCTTTTGAGTTAATGGCTTCAGCAGAACCCAGTGACTGCAAATCAAAATTTGGTGTTTAAGTTCAAGACATTATGGAGGAGATATTCCTGGCCCCATACTTAAGATTGTGAACCGGGTTCCATTGTATGACTTACTCACTAGATGAATCTCAGCTTTTGAGTTCATATAAAAACAAAACTTACCTATAAAGTTTATGGATAATATATATTTTTAATGGATATATAGACTGATTTACCCAACATTTAAAAGACAACTGCAGATCTTTGTAGTCTTGATTTTCCTTCCTTGAATAATTGTGGTGTTATGCGGAATTATTTGTAGTAAGTCATTGTCCACAATGTGATAGGTGTTCTCCACTCTTATAGGAAAATGCAGTCTCTGCCCTAAAAATTTTGCAATCTATGGCCCTACAGCCACTTAAATATGCATTACTTTACTCATGTGAGTAGTCCCATTGACTTCAATGAGACTGTTTATGTGTGTGTCAAGATACACAGCTGCTTAAGTGTTTACAGGTTCAGGGCCTAATAACAAAAATATGGGGGAAGGGGATAAAACCTTCATAGTAAAAAATGTGGGATTTTTTTTGCCCTCTGGGCATTGTTTTTTCAAGTTAGGATGAACTTGTCTGCAACTGCTCCTCTATTTGCCCATAATTAGTTGTCTAATATCTTGTGGGCATTATGGTAGAAGTGGTTCATGTTATTCACTGATACATATACCATTTATTTGGGGCTTAGTGGTGTGGAGAGGGCTAGAGTCCTGTAGTATTAGGTTCTTATTATGCTGAACAGTTTATAATACTAAAGACAAGAGGATAGTTCTCTATTTCCGTGTGAGGTTTAGATAACAAAGTCCCTGAGCGTCCTGTCCTAAATTAAAATTTCAGCAGTGATGCTGAAAGAAACTAAAATGAAACAAAGCTGCATTTTAGTCCTTTGATAAAAGTGCTTTCAGTTTCTATTTTGCTGCAAGTAAAACAGTAATAAATGAGTATATAAATTGACCTGTAAATGTTAACCTGTAAATTAATCTCAAGCATGGTATAAAATAAAAAGTAGAAAAGGGGTGAAAAAAACAAGAATCTATTGAACCTTGCCAGTTCTTTTTCAAAGTATATTTTTGATTTATTACAGAAATAATCTCTGGCATGGTAAAACACAATATCTGTAGCATCTGCAATTAAAGTACTTGAACTTCCATTTGTCTTTCTCTAGAAAAAGCAAGCCCACAACAGTTTTTAAAATTGGGTAGACACAAACATCTTGTGATTTGACTCTTTGGATGTTATATTGGTTAGTGTAATTGTTCTTATTTAATATTTTTTTAATTGCCCTAGATTGCCAGTCATAGTGGGTATGTGCAGGTTGACTGGAAGAGAGTTGAAAAAGATGTAAACAAAGCAAAAAGACAGATAAAAAAACGTGCGAACAGGGCAGCACCTGAAATCAGCACCCTCATTGAAGAGGTAAGATGTTTTTAAAAAATAAATTGTTCTGAATTGTGTGCTGTTTCATTTTGGTTAAGATTACATTGATTGAGGTTTCTGGCCTTCCACTGCATTTGGTCATAGTTATGCCTGATAACTAATATTCTAGACGGCATGTGCAAAATTTCAGGAGCATAGTCCCGCTTCTTAGGGAAGACTTACACAATCTCATCAACAGAACATATTTCTGTGTTTTAATAAATGTTAGAAGTCCTGCAGGAAAGCCCAGTACCTATTTGTTATACTAATGTTCACTTCCAGGTGAGATTTTTTTGTTCTCATGCCAGACCATAGCAATTACTTGCCTTATGCTGATCAGGCTTCAGGGATTGTCTTCATAAAATAGAGAGGTACAACAGCCATGTGCCAGTTCTGGGAATTTGTATCCTGCTGTAAGGCCAGTTAACCTAGCAAAATATTGGTTGCTTATCACTTTACTTGAGTAAAATAAAGTTGCTTTTTGGTGGTGGTGGTGCAGCTCAAAATTATGATTTTGAAAAAAGTTACCCTTTTCCCCTTTTGAATGAAGTAAAAACATTTTGGAGCTGGTATTAAATCCATGGGTGTTAGTAATCTTTGAGCTTCTTGCCACATCTGGGTAACAGGAGGAGGTGCAAACATCCATCTACAAGGCTTTACTGTTCTCTGCTATACTCTTAACCAAACAAGTGCAGAGAATCTCTAAAATAATTGCTTTTGAAGAACTGTACTAAAAGTAATTAACCCTAAGTGTTTTCATATTGACTTTAAAATGAGGAATGAGTTTGCTTATGCACAGGTAATGGGAACTATGCTTTAGATTGCATGGAGTTGTCCACCTCATTCCTTGAACCAGTTTAGCGAGTGTCCCTCTCCAAAATATGTCTGTGGTGTGCATATTGTTGATGCATTGAGAGAAACTACCAACACTCTTCTAGTATAGCTAAGGCCCATTTAGTTTTAGGAATAGTTTCTCGTTTGAGGACTTCCCTTTACCAACAGAATATTAGAAAAAGTGAGTCTTTTTTGCCAGGAGATGTATGGGCTTTTTTTTTTCTTTTTTTTTTTTTTTTTCACACTTGAAACACATATGTATCTAATTTTCTGACTACTTGTCTTGAAGTCTGATTTTTGTTATGCTGAAGAAAATCATAGCAATGCCCACACTGGTATCTCTGTAGTTAAAGATGTTGGTGTCTCCAACATAACCTATATAGCATTATTCCTCGGTTGCCAAATTGTTTTTATAATTTTAATTCCAGTCTAAAACTTGGTATACAGCTCTCTAAATCAGATGTAATTTAATCAGTCTTTTTTGACAGGCTGAGGAGTGGACCAGGGAGGAATTAAATCATGTTCAAATGGCTTTGATTTTAAAATTGTAGACTACTCCCATTGTTTGAAATATCGAACGTTTTTGTTTTACAAAATGGCTATTACATCATAGTAAAGATGTAAATCACATTTATTTTGCATACCTGTCATAACACACAGTTTATATTGTGTTGCTACTTATATCCAAACATCTGTTGATATAGTACAATGCTTTCCTATGGTATATGATTTACGAGATTAAAGGTTACAAAAGTGTGGATCAGAAAGAAGTGACCTTGAGATTATAATTAATCTAATTATAATTAATTCCCTGTGTCTGGTTAAAACTGAAATGAGTTTAGTGGTCTTACCGTAGCTCTCACATTTTTACAAAAGAAGCGTACAGTGCAGAGTTTCTGCACAGAAAAAGGCCAGTATTGGCATAAGAACATTGCTAGAAGTCAAAAATGAGGCGCATTGTTAAAGTTTGCAGAGTCTGCGTGCACTATACCTGATTCCAGCATGTGCTATATCTGCTAAACTAACAAGCTTTGAAAAATTAAGTTTATTGAAAATAGTACAAACCTCTGTTCTTGGTTAATCATGATAAAAATACGGAATGTTCCCATTAGGTGTAATGGTTTTTGCACAGATCACTAACAACTATTTTCTTTTTCAGTCAACAGAATTTATCAAACAGAATATAGTAGTATCCAGTGGATTTGTTGGAGGCTTTTTGTTAGGACTTGCATCTTAAGGACCTGAATTTTGTCTTCCTGATGGCATCAACCACAACAAAGAACAGTAGTAGTGATCAGTGCACTGTCTTAAAGCAAAGCAGTGTGGGTCACTGATCACTCCAGAGCAAGGAGAATGGACTAGCCAGACAAATTGGAAGCTTTTATGTTTTAGGCTTTTGCCTTCTGACGCTTGGCATAAGATTTGCTGAAAAACTGCAGTGTGCTCATAATAGCATTTCTGGACAAAACTGGTTAATTTTCATCATGACTTTTTTATTCTGTGACCATTCAGAAAATAGCATTTTTAAAATGTAATTTGTGGGATATAGCTATGTTACAGTAATATAAGAAGGAAAGCTCCATTTTCAATCTGATTGTTTTCCAGTTAAATGTTGTTTTATCTTTATTTAAAAGGTATTGTCCTTCATGCTGTAGTAAATAGTGCCAGTTACTAATAATGTATACAATGTGTAGCTTCAGCCGCAGGGCTGACAATCTTCCTTAGAAATCACTGCAATAATCTATAAATCTGTAATAACTTTTTACAGAAGTATTAAGTAACAAAAAATCATGAGCATATTAAAGATGAAAATCAAACCTTGATGGGGGTCTTTTTGTACTTCCTTTAACATTCAGGGATACGGCACAGGTATTTGCATACAAATTAGTGTATTGTACAAACAGTACACACATTATTTCATCAAATGCATGTCATACATAAATGTGCAGATAGTTACAATTGAAATACGTGTATTTATTATGTAAATATGTACTCTTTAAACCTTTGACACTTAAAATTACATTTTTATATTTTGTAATCCAGGGAGAACAGCTCATTTAATCCACCCTGTTGGAAATCTCAAGTGCTGAGGTTTTTATTTAACATTGAAAATGCTTAGTTGAACTTTAAAGCATGTCAGTACAGTGTAATTTGAGTAATCCAAAAGCTCTTGCCACAGTCAGTTTCAGTAGGCGATAGTTATTCACTTCACTTTCATGTTAACCCCTGGAACTAAACAAAGCTTATATTGCTGGTATGTTCGATCTGAGGTTTTTAGTAGAAGGTGAGTCACTTACTTTGATTTGTAGAAATGTACTCATCCAATATGTAAGTAATCAAAAACTATAAATTGGTAACAAAACAGGGATTCTCCTTCTCCAGCCGCCTATTGGGAACAAATTCCCACTCATCCTGATCTCAAAAGTCTGGGAAAGCAAATGAGTCTTACAGCATGCTCCATAAGTCAGCACACTTGGGGCTGTGTCAGACCAAAGCAGGAAGCAAGTTCTAAAGGGAGAGAGGTTTACATTTGACAGTGAATTTGCAACCTTCCACCCAAGCAGAGATTTAAAAAAAAAAAAAAAAAAAGTGTTTGTCTGCTGTTACCTCTTTATCCCTAACAGATCCACCAACTTCAAGACCTGCCCTGGCCCTCAAACTTGTGAAAATGTGTCGCAAAGAGCAGGCAGATCCCTTCAATCAAAGGAGATGTCATATTTACCAATTTTCCTAATTACTCTTTGCTTCCTACCATACCAACAAGCATTTCCTCACTTATTTCTTGGATTGAGTCTCCCTCATCCTGGTTCAGCCACAGGGTCTGGTTTACATCCGATGAACCAGCCCTGAACATGTAACCCATTTTCCCTTGCTAATATGTTGAATGGACCAATATATTTTTAGAATACACAGTGGGGAACCCCACATGTGAGACAGCATGTGTGATATGTGGGCTATGTATGCTTACTCCTGAACACAAGGGAACAAGGAAAGTAGGAAGTAAACTATGACTACCTGGCAAGTTTGGAGTGGGATAGCTCAGTGGTTTGAGCATTGGCCTGCTAAACCCAGGGTTGTGAGTTCAATCCTTGAGGTGACCACTTAGGGATCTGGGGCAAAATCAGTACTTGGTCCTGCTAGTGAAGGCAGGGGGCTGGACTCAATGACCTTTCAAGGTCACTTCCAGTTCTAGGATATAGGATATCTCCATTAATTTATTTATTTATTTAAGTTTAGAGGGCTATCGGAGCCAGAGAGACTTCAAAATGCAGAAATCTAACCATAGAGAAACCAATCACTAGAAGCATAAATTAAATCAGGTAATATGTAAGAGGGCCAAAATAGATTTTGAAGAGCAAATATATAAAGGTAGAAAACAATATATTTGCTTCCTGCTTCTGTTAGAATGAAAGAATCTGTGGGTCCTTAGTATCACTAGAGGTTAGAGAGCCATTATACAAATCAGTAGTATGCCACCATTTAGAATACAATGTGGATTTGTGTCACCCTATCTCAAAAAGGATATTGCAGAATTAGAGGGGCTCCACAGAAAGGCGACAATGATTAAGGGATGGGAAAACTCATATAAAGAGAGATTGAAAAGATTTAGGATTGTTCACTTTAGAAAGGAAACAATAACCGGGGACAGGATAAAAATATGTAACATAATAGATGGTCTAGAGAAGTATCAGAGGGGTAGCCGTGTTATTCTGAATCTGTAAAAAGTAACAGAGGGTCCTGTGGCACCTTTAAGACTAACTGAAGTATTGGGAGCATAAGCTTTCGTGGGTAAGAACCTCACTTCTTCAGATGCAAGAAGTGGTACAGAGAAGGTCTAGAGAAGGTACATCAGGAGTTTGTTTCCCCTCTCATGTAAAATAACAACAAAGGGATATTCAAAGAAATTGAAAGGTAAAAAATTCAGAACTGGTAAAGGGAAATACATTTTCACTCAGTGCATATTTGGATGGTGGAACTCAGTGCTCTAGGAAGTCATTGAAGCCAAGAATTCAGTGATAATCAAGGAGGGACTGGACATTTATATGAATAACAAGACTATCCTGAGTTGTTATAGTTAATTCTAATACATTTTTTGGAAAAGTTCTAAAACTTCATGTTTAAAGACTTATCCTAATCCTTAATAGACAGATATTAGTTTGACACCTTAATGAGGAGCAGATTAACCCACATCTGCTTCCTGGTGGGTTTTGTGAACATTCCTCTGTAGCATCTGATGCTGGCCACTGTTGGAAACTGGATACTGACCAGACAGACCACAGGTCTGATCCAGTATGGCAATTCCTATATCCCTGTTAACATGTAACAAACATAATGAAGTTTTCTGCATAGTGGGTTTTGAGACTGCTCTTTAATAAGTTGTCTATTCAATTTGTATACATATATCTTGATAATCAACACTTCAACAGTTATTTCTAGGTAGCTAAACCAAAGTCAAGCAATTTGTCATTTATACCGAGCCTCGTTCTGTTCCCATTGAAATCAATGGGAGTTTTGCTATTGAATTTTAAGGGACCAGAATTTGTCTCACTGTCTGTGGAGGCCATTTTCATGCAAAATGCAAACTGAAAATGGCAGCACTGAAATTAAACATATAGCAGATATTCAACAGTGCAGCAGTTTTCAAGTGTATTTGTCTTAAGAATAAAGGCATAAGCATGCAGTAGTCTTTAGAAATGGAGAAACTACCAAAATTAAACACAGAAGGAGAAAATGTTGCTCTTTAAACAGTAGTACTTCAAGATGTTTCATAAAGTCTGTAATTTCCAGTGCTGAGAAGGAAGCATCACAAAATATATAATAGAGACCTTTATTCACATCTAAAGATGTGGGGGGAAACTAAGCAGAAGAGTGTTTTCACTGTTGAGTGCTGTTTTTTTTATTTGCAATGCTCATGTATATTTCAATGGAAGTATCTGCAGCTGGCTGACTGTGACCCAAATGTTGTGGTGATAGAGGTACACTAGCACTCCTTTCTCCTCCCCAGAAATAAGCAGAATGCTCTTTAATACGTGTGCAAGCATTTCTGCATACATGCAGTGTACATTTTTCAAATCCTTCATAGAAAATAGTATCAAGAAATCAGTGAATAAGAATTGAATCATGAATCTCATTTACAATAGATGCTTTGAAGAACTTCCATTTCAAGCAGAGGTTGTCTACATATGCTTGCCAGTATTGATTCAACAGAAAACAGAACCAGTGTGTCTTGTAATGATTGTTAATAAAACTTCATACTTTTTCAAACTATACATAAATTGGGATGGGAACTTTACCCAATTTTCTCATATAGTTAAAGAATAACAAACTTTCAATGTCAAAAAAGTGAAGATGGTTTTATTTTGAGATTTTAAATCCTCTGCAGTGAGTCAGTCCAAATGTCTTGGTGGTTAAATACTGAATATTGAAGATGCTACACTTCATCTAACCAAATTTTTACAAGAAAAACCTACAGCTGATAAAGCTTGTGCAGCTCAAATATTACCAGACATTTTTTCAGTTTTCCTTTGAAATAAAAATAAGAATGAATCTTAAATATTAATAATGTACTCCACCTGGTGTTCCCATAGTTGTGTGTGATTGTCAAGGATAACAAATTTCTCCAGAAATTATAGCATTTTAAATTAAGGCTGTTGTTATTTATATAGCATCAAATGTGATTATTCGTTTATAAACGTACAGGTTCCCTGTCCCACAGAATGTACTATCTAAAACCCTGATCCTGCAGACACTTATGTATGTGCTTAATTTTGAGCATGATTAGTCTTACTGACTTCAATTTGACTGGTTATGTGAGTAAAGTTAAGCCCATGCTAAAGAGTCAGCATGATTGGGACTCAAATGGATGACATTTAAATGAAGGTTAATAATAGTAAAACTTTTAAATTGGAAGTGGTAACTTGCTGGCTACACATTTTTTCTCTTTCAACAATGAAGCTCATTTCTTCACAAACTGTGGTCAGCGGCCTACGAATGGTCAGTAAAGTTTTTTCATTTGGATCACAAAACCAACAGAAATGGTACCATCTATTGAGAAAAATAGAGAAATTAAGGGGATTGGAGTAATGAATGAGCCCCACTCTTACAAAGTAAGGTGTAACTGACTTTACTATTGACTAGCTGGCCTTCTCTGTGTTTATCAAGCTGTTAAGTACTTAACATTTTCAATTGAAGTCAACACTATTAGCATATATTATCAAGTTGCAGGTGGCGGTGTTTTGGGGCTTTTTTTCAGTTCACTACCTCCAGTGATTCTTGAAATGAATTAACTCATCTTTCAGTAGTGGGAAAGGCTGATAACATTGCAGTAGTACTGTAGAAGGCTGAGGTGCATTTTGGAGTGCCAGTGTACAAAAATCTGAAAAAGTCCATATTATTCCCCTTTATTCTACCTTCCATTCTTGTGTGTTCCTGGGGGGGGAAAAAAAAAGCAATCAAGTCCATGGCTTAGTTCCCCGCACATGAAACATTCTATAGAGGATGATGTAGTTACATTTATTTTATCCATGTGTTTTTGGTAGGTTACCTGCTCCTATGTCTTTTCAGACAGTCTTTCCATTAACTTCAGTGGGTACAAGATCAGGCCCTAAGTGCTTGTATTTCTGAGTATATAGAATAAAGGATCTTATGGTTAGTGTCCTTATACTCATGAGTCTCACACTGACCAGAATAAATAGGTACTGAGGGCATATTATGATGTTATAACTAGTTTTAGGTCTTTGTTTTAAAAGGGGGAGTTCATTGTATAAAAGTTGAGAGTGTAAGATATCTACCAAACCCTTCTGTGATATTGGTATTTTTTT